GGGGTCTATTGAACATTGTAGGGCTTAGCTTGCAGCTTCATTGCTGTTTTTCCCTCACTTCCCCTTATCAGTGACCAACGTAGTCACCAATCAGAGAGCATGTCTGCTCGTGTATTCTAACCAGGGGTCCTTTAGATTACAGTGTTCTATCTTAGTTCAAACAAGAGGCAGTTGTTCAAACAACAACAAAAAAGGGTGGGGGACCAAATGGTTTTAAATTAGGAAAGGTGTGCGCCAGGGTTATGTTCTTTTACCATACTTATTCAATCTGTATGCTGAACAGATAATCCAAGAAGCTAGATTATATGAAGAAAATCACGGCATCAGGATTGGAGAAAGACTTTTTAACAACCTGCAATATGCAGATGATACAACTTTGCTTGGTCAAAGTGAAGAGGGCATAAAATAATTACTGATGAAGGTCAAAGACCACAGCTTTGATATGGGCTGTACCTCAATATAAAGAAAACAAAAATTCTCCCCACTAGACCAATAAACAACATCCATATAAATGGAGAAAAGATTGAAGTTGTTAAAGACTTCATTTTGCTCAAATCTACCATCAACACTCATGGAAGTGGCAGTCAAGAAATCAAACAATGTATTGCATTGGGAAAATCTTCTGCACAAGACCTCTTTAAAGAATTGAAGAGTAAAGGTGTCAGTTTGAGGACTAAGGTGCACCTGACCCAAGCCATGGTATTTTCAATAACCTCATATGCATACGAAAGTTGGATGGTGAATAAGGAAGACCATAGAAGAATTGATGCATTTGTATTACGATGTTGGAGGAGAATATTAAAAGTACCATACAGAAGGACAAATAGATCTGTGTTGGAAGAGGTGCAACCAGAGTGTTCCTTGGAAACCAGAATGGCCAGACTTCATCTCTCATACTTCAGACATATTGTCAGTCTCCAATCACTGGAGAAGGATATCATGTTTGGTAAAGTGGAGGGTCGGAGAAAAAGAGGAAGACCCCCAGCGTGGTGGTTTGGTACAACATCAATGGGCTTAAATGTAGCAATGATTGGGAGGTTGGCCCAGGATCAGGCAGTGTTTTGTTCTCTTGTGCATAGGGTCGCTATGAGTAGGTACTGACTTAATGGCACCTAAAAACACAGCAATCTTAGTTCTGTCTTTACTGCTAGGACATGGTCCTCCTGGGGTCTCAGCTGAAAGTTTGGACTGTTTTAACAAGATCTGTCTACCCTAGTGGGATTTGAACTCCATCTTCTGACTCCCTAGTTGATATGTGGTTCTTCTCACAGGGTGCGCTGGCCCAAGGTCCCTCCATGCGGTCACTCCTCTTTGAGCAGAGTCCATCACTACTGGAGTTAGGGAGACTGTGAATTCCCTTTGAACCTTGCAAGAGTCCCGAACTTCTGCACAGGGAAATGGAGTTCTGATTAGGTCACGGCATTCTAGGCCACTGTGCTAAGAATCCAACTTTGGACATGGGCTCAGATGATTCTGTGACTGACCAGCAATAGCCACGTGGCTGAGATAGTTCCATCTACCACCTACTTTCTATAGTTTGCCATCTCCGGAATATACTGGTTAATTCTTCAGCAACTTTTAAGTCAATCATGAAAACAGTTGTTTAGACATATAAATTACTGAGACAGGATCTATTTACAGCCAGGATTTCACAGATGGATGCCTTGATAAATGTGTTTTATTTACTGTGAATGATTTCTGAATAGTGACATTGAAAAAAAAATGTGATTCACATTTTCTGTTGAAAAGAAGGCAGCAGTATTGTGCAGAAAGTTGTCAATTAACTCGTGACTCCAGTTGGGATTATTCTGCGACTGATTGGGGGATTTCAGCTACTCTAGTAGAAAAAAAACCCCAACAAACCAGGAATCCTGATGTGGCACTGTGGGTTAATACGCTGAACTGCAAAGCTAGTTGGAATTGCAGGGTTGGTGGTTCAAGCTCACTATCTGCTCCTTGACAACCCTATACAGGGTCATTATGGATTGGAACCAATTTTACAGCACTTAACAACAACAAGTAGAAAAACTGTCAGTTAAACATGATCCCTTAGAAAGCCCCTTTCATAGCCTGAAACACAAGAAAGAGAGGTAAAATTGACATCCGGAAGCATTTCTTCCACCAGCCTCTCTGTGTGGAAATCCATAGAAAAGGAAAGACTACACATAGGTTTCTTTGGGGAAGTGTTAGCGGTTAGTCGGGCTCTCCAGGGACACAGCCTTTCAGGGCTCTCAAGCAGAAGTTAAGATGCTCACCTCAGTGTTTCTTTTTGCCAGGTGTGTTCAGAAAGAATGTGGAAGGAATGGCAGAGGAAATAGGTGACAGTCTGTGCTGCCAAGCTCACAGTCTCATGGTGGTGATCAAAATGAGTTGACATCAAGTCAATATTGACTCATGTTAACTCCATGTGTATCAGAGTAGAACTGCATCCAGTGGTTGGTTTTTCAGAAGTAGATCACCAGGCCTTTATTCTGAGTTGCCTATGGGTACACTAGAACTGCCAACATTTCATTAGCAGCCTTGTGCATTGGCCATTTGCATTGCCCAGGGACAAACACTGAGATAGACTGACTGACCTGGGTTTACAGATATTTAACTTTGGATGACCCACACATTGGCCTGTGACACTTTGCTGCCCAGTTGCTAGGACTTACCTCTGTCAAGGAGGCCTCTCCTTACCTGTTTCCTGGAGTCCATTGTCATAAAAGTCTCTGTTGCACCCCACTAAACCTAGCACCAACCGTACCTTATTGTTCCTGGGATATGCTCTATTTAAAGCACCAAAGTTCTCATCCACCAGGTATCCACTGCCCCTTTCCTTCCTGCCTGCCTTCTGTGTCAGGGCTCCAAAGCCTCCTGCCTCAGCACCTTAACTCAGAATTTAGATGAACCTGAGGCCTGGTTCCTGGTGATACTAGTTCAGCCATACTGAGTGGTTGAGACATCTACAATCTTTTAAGGCATTGGTGTTTCTGGATTACCATAGAACTGTTTTTAGGTTCCCCCTTATAGCAAAAAATTAAGAGCCAACAAACTTGGACCATAACCTATATGTAGGTCTGGGCCTAAATCCAAAGCAAACCAGTTACTGTTAAGTCACTTCTGACTCTTAGAGATCCTGTGCCTATCAGAGTGGAATTGCTCTCCAGCAGGTTTTCAGAGGCTGCATTTTCAGAAGTAGATCACCAGGACTTTCTTCTGAGGAGCCTCTGGGTAGACTCAACCTTGAACCTTTAAGTTAGCAGCTAAGTACATTAGCATGGCACCACCAATGGCTTCCCTGCCCTTAAAACTAGAAAGAAATCGTTCAAGCTTGCAATCATATATGCAGATAAAACCAGGAAACAGGAGCAGAGATGTGTCCATGGGGATGGGCTAGTAGGGCAGTGGTTCAGGCGGGAGGGAGGGAAGCCATGGGAAACAGTGTCCCAACTTGACAGCAAGGAGTGAAGTGGCCTGTGCAGTATATTGGAGGTGGATAGGGTTTAGAAGTGGATCATTGCAATGTATTCATTTTATATTCTTATCATTTTGCTACCTGGGCTCCTCACTCCTCCATCACCTGAATGTTCCTGAATGCCACCCTGCCTCCTCTTCCCTCTGATACATGCATTCAGTTCTTGCTCCATTTTTAGGAGGCAGTACACCTGCTTGCTCTGAGCCAATATCACGCTGCTCTGTTATTTTTTTTATCGTTTTAAACACAGATAAAGTAGATGAGAAATACTAATTGCAAAGGCAACCCAGTTCAGCCCACCTGCTGTTCTATAAGCATATTTTCTTATCAGACTCAGGTCCAGCCCCACAGGCAGACGTGGCAGCTTGGGACAGCTGTGAGGACCAGCCAGTTCTATGATTGCCAAAGTACTGTTTGTTCTTGGATGCCCCTTTATTTCAAAAAATTAAGAACCAACAAACTTGGAACATGGAATATAACCCATAAGCACAACAAAGTATGCAACAGATAGATAGCATAGGTCAATCCCCAGACCTTGCCTTCCTTTACTTATTTTCACAATTGTCCCTAAGGTCACCTGTATTCTGAGAAGTGCCACATGCAGAAAATAACGTTCCTTTTGTGCTTCCATCTGTGTGCTCTCTCTTGGTCCCTCTTTCTGAGAAACCTCTTCCTGTTACTTCTGGGAAGCAGGCTCTGCTCCTTGTCCTGGGCATCCAAGCAGAAGGCTGAAAATGAGACCTTTCAGCTGAAGCGCTTAAGCACAACTGTTAAATTCTGGTAGTATATAACCAGTTGCCACTGAGTAGCCCATGTGTGCTGAGTAGAACTGCTCCATAGAGCTTTCAAAACTGTTACCTTTCAGAAGCCTGCCTTCCGAGATGCCTCTGGGTAGGTTTGACCACCAACCTTTCAATTAGTAGTTGTTGTTGTTAAGTGCTGTTGAGTCAGTTCTGACCCATAGCAACCCTGTATAGAGTTTCCAAGGAACATCTGGTGAACTTGAACCACTGACTTTACGGTTCAAACCACCTTTGCAGTCCAGAGTAGTCACCAAACATTTAGTCATTTGTACTGTAATAATGTGTTTTTCTTACAAAATTGCAGATTGCCGTATCCCTCAAATTGAAGATGCTGAGATTCATAACAAGACATACCGGCATGGGGATAAATTAATCATCACCTGTCATGAAGGATTCAAGATCCGTTACCCCGACCTCTACAACATGGTTTCATTATGTCGCGATGATGGGACGTGGGATAATCTGCCCATCTGTCAAGGTAGGTACAGAAGCGGAGTTCTCTCAGACTTTATTGTACACAAGTACCTGATTGTTTAACAGAGGGACACAGACCACAGGGGCGGGGGCAGAACAAAGCCACACACCAGCTCCCTCTTCCGGATTGTTGGTGGACTGTCTTTGTCACACCCTGTATTATGCATGCTGGCCCCATACACTTGGTCTTATAGAGTAAAGGAGAAATAACAATTCTTTTGCCTGTTGAATATCTCCTTGTAACTGGACTATGAACACATGATGAACTATTACATATATAATGGAAATCGCAGTGTATTTATACTTATTTCCATAGTGGTGAGAATATATTTAAAGCCAAGTTTACAGAGCCTATTTTCTCCTAATAATGTTATCCCTCTTTATAATGCATGAAGAGCAGAAAAATAATCAAATTCAAATTTCATCCAACACCACAGTGAATATTTATCCTCTTGCATATTTTTCTTTGTTTTGTTTTTTATTTTCAATTTGCCTGGCCCAACATAGAGGGCCCCATTTGTGAAAATAAGCTCGTGAATTCACATTAATTCTGATTTTATTTTTTGACATGTGACTTGGACCAAAGGACCAAGGAGCTGATACATAATTCATCATTCCACTGGAGGGAGAGTGTCATTTGCACCGAGAGCATTGGCATGCTCAAGTTGAGACACATGTTAACTTGGTGCTAAAAAATCACAACTGGCAGGCTCTGATATTGATTTGCCTGCCCTATAGTTGGAAATAACTTATTTCCTCATGTTAGAACTTAAGAGTCTCAACCCCTTGAAGAGACAAAGGCCTCAGAATTAGGATGGTAGAGGCCTCCCACATCACCATCAGACCGCCATTCACTTCTCAGAAACTTCCTGTGATGCTTAACATACTCTATGTTACATTTTTAAAGGAGACACATGATTTATTTACACGTTCAGAGACTGTCCATAAAATAAGCAGCTGGCTTTTCGGTCGACCTGTTTATTCAAATGAACTTTACTAACCACTGATTTGTTCCGGTCCTCTGACCCTGTTAGAGTAATGGCGAGGAAAATTACCTCAGACTCCCGCCACTTCTTGCCTTCATATTTTCCACTTATCCTTTTGTTCCTCCACCCTTTCTATTTTCTTTCTGTCACTTAACTACAGTATGCTTCTCTAGCAGTTCTTTGGCCGCCCTTCTGCTATACATTTAATTCCCTGTTGTGGCATATGTTTCAGAGTGTTGTCATGGGAAGTTCAGATAAATGTTTTCCTGTACCTCTCTGCCCATTCTTGCCCATTCTCCTCCACCAGTCCTTATTCAGCTTTCAGTCAGAAAGTAGCTTACATTCTTCTAGAGGAAGTAGTAGAAATCACGTCTTCTTTTCAGGAGACCCAGGTCCAGCGTCTAACCACAGCTACCACCTGTCTGCTATTGGAAGCTTGCATACTGCTATGATGCTGAAACAGCTTTCAACTAAGACAGACTAGGAAGAAAGGCCTGGACATCTACTTCCAAACATTAGCAAGTGAAAGAAAAACTGTATGCATCACAATGGTCCAAGCTGCAGTGGATCATGGAGTTGGTACGGGATGTTTCATTCATTCCGTTGTGTATGGGGCCCCCATGATTTGGGAACCAGATGACTCGATGACAGCTAACAACATAGATTTTCACAACAACAGCAGAGTTTGCTGGTGGGACTTGAGAAGACTGTATCTTCAAAACAATAGTAACAACAGCTTTGCTTTCATTTTCATCAGAACCCTCTGTCTTCCCAGAGGAGACAACCTGCTCTGTTCCTTGCTATCCACTTCACCCATTCCCTCCCACCACCCTGCCAAAGCCTTGTTGAAGAAGTGGGAGAGAGTCTGTGCTTGCCAGAGTTGGAACCACTGATGATCCAGCCTCCTCCCTGCCCCTGCTACCTGCCACAGCACAGAGAATATAGACAGCCTGACACCTCTTCCGGCCCCCAGGGGGGAATATAATTGGCCCTTAGTGTGACATTTCATTCTGTAACATTTATTTGCACCTATAGATCTAGGGGCTAAAGCCTGAGGAGCCTTTTCTCTATTATCTACAAGTGCAAATAGATATCACATTGAACTCTATTGAGTGGAAGCCAGTTTTCTCCTGTTATATTTAGGACAAGCTGTCTCCAACCAAAAGCAAGCAGATCTTTCCTCTCCTCTGATTAACTCCACGAATTATAACTCCTTTTATCTCCGTGGCGGTATGGAGAGTAAGGAACTGTTCTATGGGCATTTTTTCCATGGGACTTTTGTGTTTGGGGTACAGTGTCTAGATGCCTCCTGCTAGCTATGAGTCGGAGTGCATTTTTATTTGGGGGAAGCCAGTGCTGGTAACCTAGGCCAACCTGATGCCACTGAAGCAGCTCGACTCATGGTGACCCCAAGTGTGTCACAGTAGAACTGCACTCCGTAAGGTTGTTGTTTTTATTATTTTTTTTTTTTAATTTAAGGTTTTTAATGTGGATTGAGTGAAAGTTTACAGGGCACATCATCAGTTTCACATTCAACCATTCATATAACTTGTTTCATTACATTGATTACAATCCCCTCCATATACCATGAGTTAAAAGTATTTCTCTCTATCCACTTTAGCTTTTTTTAAAAAACACAAACAAAAAAACCCATTCAGGCATATATAATAATTTACATCTCCAAAGGGCACACTCTTAGTTGATGAATCTAGAGTCCTCAGCCGTGCCACCTCTCCATGCCCCCATCTCTGCCTCCATCTCTGGCGCTGCTGCTTTTCTGGAGAAGGTCCCGCATACTATTTGTGTGTTCCTCTCTTGATGGCTTTAGGGTCCTCTGTCTCTGGACTGTAAGATTAACCACTCCCCTTTTTTTGTTACAAAACTTCTACCTTTAAAAGTGTGACAGTCGTGATTAGTCATGATGACAGTTATTCACTGTTGAATCTTATGAATCTTATCCCCATCTCCTTTCACCAG